TACTCAATATTTACAAGTTTGAATTCTAAAGCTGACCAGAAATTCATTTACAAGCTCAGACTGCTCCCCAGCTTAAGCAAGGGGGCAAAGTGCCTTCCCCTGCACTAGGAGGGCCTGCATCCAGCTGGCTAAATGCTGTTCGGATAATCTGAACACTGAAGGTCACAGATGCATTTTTATTCTTAAACCAAGTAGAAAAAACTTGAACTCTTCTGGAGAGACAGAGTCAGAATTTCATCGTGCTCAAAGCTCCAGCAGCGTCTGTCTAGAACCTTCAGTGATACCAACAGCAATCAGATGTTGTACTTCTGACTCACATATACACTCTGTCTGGAATGCCTCCTATTTAAAGCATAGTGTACACAGATGCTGCATCACTAAGGTCCTGTAACCCAACAAACATCTCACCAGTACACCCTCTCAGGCACAGTTGCAGAAGCAGATTCTAAATGCTGATCCCACTCGACGTAAATCTCATTTCTAGAATGGTGGGAACTGCCAGGTATCAGAACCTGAAAACGTGCGTGTCATTTCTCATCTTCATATTTCCGCACAGAGGAGTAAAGCTATCTCAAATGCAAGCCATGACTACAGTAAGAAATTACAAGTTGTTCTTTGCCTTAGCAAACAGAAGTTTGGAGGTATTTCAGAAGAATAATGTAATTCTCCTAGAAGTGAGGTGCAATGTGAAGCGGCTACTGATTCAGTTACACTGAAAACTGATGCTGGGCTCACCACTGTTACAAAAATTCATAGGCTAAATGTATCCTCTTTCAGCACAGTTAACACTTAGATCAAACTGCAGCAAGAGAGGAATCCAAGGACTACTGAACAATGACTTTGTCCATCATTGTCGCTGCACTGTAAGAAATGTTTGTCTGAGACAAAACACAGGCAGGAAAAAAACCTAAAAACTGAACTTGAGGCAATCAAGGTTAACAAGAACAAAAGATGCCCCCTCGTGGTTACAGTCAAAGGTAGCAAACGAGAGACAAACGGAGAAGAGTAAAAACTACACTAAAGGAAGAGCAAGGCAGAATCACTAAAAATAAGGATCTCGGCATAACTGGCTTCTCTCTGCACTTCAGCTGACTGTAAGAGGTAGAAGAGAGACATCATGCCAGGACCGAGGTGAAAAATGCCTCCAATTAAAATAATCCCCAAATATGCTTAGAATCGCACTAAAAAGAAATACTATGTATTTGCTTTTCTGTAAAACCAAATCCACTCTTTTATAACCCTCTTTGAAAAGTAAGACAGTATCACTAGTGAAATGAACTTAAGTGCACATGTGAAAAGATTTAGATTTTGTTACTGGGAATGCTTTTATTGACTATTAGAGAGACAGTAAAAGCATCCATTGTGTCTAATGAGGAATGCAAGCAGATGCTGGAAATAAAGACCTTCCAGGGTCTAAGGTTACCTTTCCCTAGGAAAATATTTTGAAACAGTATCTGAAGACTCTCAGCTTGTAAAATCCACAGGGCTCCACTAAGAATCAACAAAAAAAGTGCCATTCCTCCCCAGGTGAAGAGCTGTTACCTATTAGAACCTGGTGCTCCAAAAGCACAGCAGCTGTTCTTCAGGAGTGCTCTTGTGTGCCTGTGAATAAATACACTCCAATGGGAGCAGCCCAGAGGGCCCCAGCAGCTGGCAGCTTCAACAGTCAGGGTAACTCACTCCACACCTCCGACTTGAGGGCAGAATTTTAACAGAAGCAGCTCGTCCCCTCTGTTCATCCCTGCCTTGGGAATCATCACATCCCATGTCCACAGGTTCAGTTGCAAGGTGAGAATGACGACTTCACTCCCTAGAAAGAATTATTAGTGCTTTCTCACAGAGGAATCAGATTCTTACACTTTTGTGACAATTTTTCAGATTTTTTTTTTTACCTGTTCAGTGTTTATTTTCACATAAATTTATGCATAATTTTTCTGGAATGGCGCAGTTCTACCCAATGAGAACATTTTAGGAAATTATTAAAATCTTAGACTTCTATAAATTTTTAAACAAAAAGTGTAATTTTGTCTTATTTACTTAAATTCTTGTCCATGTAAAACTACTTACAATTTTTATTTCTCTTTGTTCAGGATCCTCATGACTGCTGTAACAATCTCAAGACTTCCAAAAACCTCATAGAAAAGCTTGATTTTACTCTTAACAACAAAGCAAATTTCTTTTCCGCATTTCGTCCAGTTTGGCTCCACCTCCTGCCCAAAGTTACAAACTACATCTTGTAACATTTACGTAAGATTAAAAATATGAAACTCAAAGATGTTAATATTACAAAGTACTTGAATGTTTGCTAGAGATGAAAACTATCCTAAGATATCAGAAATAATCAGCGATTCAGCTGACAAGTTTCACATATGGATAATTGAGGAAATGAACAGTTGCGCACCTATATTGGAGACATTCAGCAGTTACATCAGTATTTCCCAGGTGACTTTCAAGTTTGCAGTAGGAAATGCAGCCCCAGTTGGACATCCAGAAAATAAGTTGTGTTTTATTAGAAGGACAAGTATAACAGAAAAATGAAAGTAAAATGGTAACATTCTCAAGTTTCATGTTTCTCGATAATACCACCAGTGATTTTTCCCCAGTATGCTAGGGCAACTGAAGATGTACTCCTGATACTGACCCAGAATACATCCACCAGCCCTGCGCTGTCATGTTTCTGAGAAGCATCGACCAGAGCCACTATGCAGATCCTACAGTCAATAGGTCTAAGCCCAGGCTCCCTGGGCATTAAGAGTAGGTGCACCATGGGGCACCCATGATTTCTAGAGTTTCTGGGATGTCCTATAGTGCCAGAGCAAGCGTATTCTTTCACTGAATTCTGCCTTAAAACTTCCAGGTGGAAGAAACAGGACACCCATGAAGAAATTTGACACAGTAACTCTCAAAGCAGCTTATTTTTAAGACTTTAGGAAGAATTTAAAGCACTGGCAGACAGAAAGGGCAACTTGTAAACTACAATGTCGAGTTGACCAGATATGAACCATCACTAACAGAACACAACACGAACACCTTGCAAACCCATCACTCCAGTCACTGCATTTTCCAATAGCTGTGTCACATCTTCAGATTTATGCAGCAACCTGAAGCAAATCATTAGGGGGGCAGACAGCAAAGAAAATTTCTCTGCTACCTCTGATCTTAACCATGGCCAAAACCAGCCTGGGAAAACCAAAATCCTCCTTTAGGTTGTACGTACAGGCATTTTTTCAAGACAATTTTTCCTTCCTTGTACAAGGACTTTCCTTAAAACATACAGCAAGGGATGAGGTACTGGTTTTCTTGCTTTCATACAGTTCTCTCTCATCCAATTTATATTCCAATATAGTGAGCTGGTATGGATTTTGCTAAATAACCTACCTTACTCCACCCCTGCTTGAGGCCCTCTTCAATTCTAACTTGCTAAATTCTAGGAGAACTTAGCAACCCAAGCTCGCTGTAGGGCATCCACAGCACCTCACAAAGGCTGTCCTTGGACATCTGGAGGAGGTGCTGCATAAGTTATTTCAGCTTTTCCCATTCCAGTCCCAGGCATACCAGCATTACTGGTAACACACTCAGTGAAACAGATGAAAAAAATGATGTCATTAAGTTTTTTTCACTCTTGCAGCATGTGGCTGCACAGCACAGGGGCATCACAGCACTGGGAATGGGCACGTGGGAAGGGGTGTGCTCACAGGAAAACAAGGTGTCAACTTAGAAAGTAGCCTCTCTAGAAATGCCACTTTTAAAGGACAGAATAGGTTTAAACAAAAAAATAACCACCACCCCCTAAACTTACCTTGAAAAGGTATTCTGGAAGTCTTGATAAATCTCCCAGGTTTTGTGCAAGTAGTTCTAAACCTTGGTCTCTAGCAGACAAGAAATTGAAGTGATAGCTAAAGGCTTGTCTGTTCTTACCCCTCATAGTATCAACACAGTATTCAGTTGTGTCTCCACCAGCTTGCTAGAGTTACCCATTTTCCTACTGCGCTCGCTAACAAACTTAATGTTAGACTCAACCCCTAGCAGCTGAAATTACTCAAGTTATTCAGCTGCGCTTAGGCTCTATGCTGAGCACTGTACAAAAGACCAAACCTCTCTGCTCTGCTAGTCTACTCCCGCTCTTAATGAGACTATTTGATAAATTCACAATCGGTCTAGATGGATTTAGTATAACACTTCTTAACAAGCACAGTAATTAGCTTCATGGCCTATGAACTGCTTATCTCTTCCAGAAATCAAGCTAAGCAACTGTCAAGCTGATGCCCTAGCACCGGCAAGCCTAATGAGTTAGCCAAGTGTGCAGCTTGCTATCACCACAGGCAAGTTATGTATCTGATGGTCACAGATTACAGACACTTCAAGCGTGTCCTTACATGCACTGGATCAAACAGCATGAGGTCAGTAACCTTAGCTGTGAATCTGTGGCTAGGGTCTTTAGGTCCTTCTCTGGACTTTGAATTCACTTGTTTCACCTGTGAGTAATATGGGAAATGCTTTGCTCTGTAGCCACCCCAAATACATGTTCAGAGCTCTGTATGCAAAGGACCAATTTCAAATTCTTCAGGGTTCTCAATTACAAAGTCTATTCACATACTAAAATTTTGTGGGCCTCTGGGTTACTTTGGCTTCAAGAGTTTGTTTCATGTTTTGTGCCCTACCCTCTCTTCACTGTAGCTGAACTCCGCAGAACTATGCAAAACTTTGTTATGTCAGGTACAACATCCTCCTCCTTCTGGCTTAGACTTCCTGCAGGTAGTAGTTTTCCACATGATTATCGTTCCCTGGGGAAGTTTCTCCATACCAACTGTAGTATCCTTCTCTTACCCTGCCTTGCACGGCAAGCATACGCACTCCTCAGCTCCGGAGACTTGCAATCAGTTCATGTTCTTCCTTTCCTGTGCTTCCTGGAAGTTCTCAGTGGGGAGCAAGGGTGCTTGCAGATGAAAACCTATCAGACAGCTTTATTCTTCTGCTTCCTTGAAAGTGCCCTACAGAGTAAATGCAGTATTCTAAGTTCACTGTTTCTCACTGTACTATTTAAAGTTACATAAGGTACTGTTTACGGTTATTTTATTTTTATATATACACTATCGCAACATCAATTGATTTTGTTTTTACAACTGCTTTGCTGTCTAAGAAATATACGGTTTATGGTAAAATCTTAAGTTTTCCAGAATAACACATTAAATTATTCAACACCCCTTTGCAAAAGCCTAGACAGCAGGAAGAGATTCACATTTTGACTGGTGACTGTCACTTGGCTCAAGTTATGCTGGTCTCCCAGGCTGAAGGGATATGATGGAGGAGTTGTTGCACTGGTCAGAGTGCCAGGAAAAAAAGAGGAGGTCAGGATTTGTCTTGATACAGTTCTAGGGTCTTTTCAGACTTCTCAGTATCTTCTCATACTTTTTTTTTTTTCAGTTCAATAACCAGAACACTATGAATTTGGACAAGCACAGATTTGGGGCTGTTTTCTGCTGGCATTGGGCAATGTGCAAGAAAGGGGAATAAGAGAAGTAAGAATGGCTTGAAAGAATTGCTTTGTCTCATACTTCTGAAATATGCAGCTCCAATATGACCCAGTATTTACTCCACCTCATTGGAATCCTCTAAAGACAATATAAACCAAGAACTTAATGTATACAAGTTACAGCGATAAAACCAATTATTTTAATTGAAGCCATTAAAAAAAACCTGTGAGGCAATATAAATGATAAAATTATACTTAAGAAGGAATAGCTAGCACTTTCTGAAAAGCTTTAAAACAGCAACAGACACTTTACAAAAGATTTGAGGGAAGAGAATAAAATTTCCAAACTACAGGTACTGTATAAAGGTAACATTAACAATTATCTTATAAAATACAGCAACAGAGACAAAATGGAATACTCAAGCTCCTTTGAAACTAAGCCTTCTGGGGTCCTGGTTAAAATCTATGTTCAAAACCTATTTTAAACAAGGACTAAATACTTCTTCGTATTTTAAATTTACAGGTCCCTGGCATCAACATAGCACTATACACATCTTCCAAACAAGCAGAAAGCACAGTTCCATTTAACCATGCGTGGTGTCATCTTCCACAAAGTCTTTGGCCATTTCTGCTGTGATCACATCAATATGACTAACCTGGTGGAACAAAAAGCACACAGTTATTACAGTATCTCCTGCAGAATAAGACAGACTTATTTCTGAAGGCTCCAGGACTCAGCAACAGGCCTATAATGGGGACATCTGTAGATATTTATATTATTTTTCAGGGAGGAGAGCACTTTTACACAAGACTGCAATATAACTAGAAGTCCCATCACTGAAATAAGACTGATTCACTTTCTACTTGACTTACAAGTCCAGTCTCAAAGGCACAACTCAATAAGGTTCTCAGTAAACACCATAACTAGAACATATTATGTACCTTGTTTCTGAACTTTACACCATAGAACTTGTCAGCTGACTCAAGCAGTTCAGGCCTAAAAGTTGTTGTAATAAACTGAGCATGTTCAGCTAGTTCCATAATCATATCTAAAAAAAGAACACAAGAATTCTTTATTAATTTAGTCTTTTCAATAAAGCAGGACAGGTCTTAATATGAGACAGGCAAAGAGCTTGCTCTTCCTTATTCAAAATTAGGTTTTGGTTAATAAAAAAGAAAACCACCTCCCACAAATCAAGAAAGGAACCATAACAGGTTTTTAAATATTATCATTAATTCCAGTACCAACTCTGACAAATCCAGCCACTCAGCAAAGTCAGTGGGGTATTAAACTTCTATGATGAAAACCAGAGGAAGCACTTCTTTGACAATGCAATGAGCTAAAATATAATTTTAAAAAAAAAAATAATAATCAAACTACACTTCAATACAGGACTATTTTCACCACATTGAAGTGTAGTAAGGAGACCCTTTAGACACAGTAGACAATACAAAACTTCTACCTAAAACCAAGTTCATGAAAGCTTCATTCAGAAGGCACAATGTCAAATTCTAACACATGTTGGGATATTAAGAAACGTGCCTTTACGATTAAAAGCTTTTATATCTCAAACATCAGGGATGAGAAGACAGACTACCACCTTCAACCATACCGAAGAATAACAAAGGTAGACAGTTACCCGAAACAGCTTTTCTGTGCTGAGCATCCAAGGCTTGATCAATTTCATCAAACAAGTAAAATGGAGCTGGATCACATTTCTGGATAGCAAATATAAGGGCTAGAGCCACCAAGGATTTCTGTCCACCTGAAAGTTGCTGCATTTCTCTCATTTCACCCTGCTTCCCTGTGAATGATACCTAACAAAACAGTGCAACAGCAAGATTATTTCAAAATATTAAACTACAACATCACTTGCTACTACAGTAAATAAACAGGACCAATTGAAAGTTGCCTTTTAAAAATATAGTTAGAAGGCAATCTAAATGAATATTCAGAGTACTGAAACACAATTATTTTCCCTTACCCTTATGCCAACTCCAGTGAACTGGTCTACAGATGGAACACTGCTCTGAGATCCAGATCCCCTTTCACTTTCAGTGCTGCCTTCACCTTCATCCTGGGACTGACTGCCCTCTACATCCCCTTTCTTCATCACTAATGTGGCCTTGCCACCAGGAACTAACTTCTGGAACACCTCACTGAAATTTTTTGACACCTGAAAAAAAAAAAAAAAAAACACCAGCTCATTTTTATGTAACGAAATCAACTGCAGACAACAGCTGTTTTCACATGATCGCACTAAGTGTCTGTTTCAAAGAGATCCACATTCATCCTTAAGCACAAGTAGAAGTGAGAAACATATGTTATATAGAGCTTAGGGGTTTTTAAACTAAGCCAACTGTTCTTCTAGCATGAGAATTTTAACAGGTTTTAAGAAAACAGTAGAATTAAAACAAAAACCAGCAGCACAAGCAAGTATTACTTATTTCAGTAAACTTCAGATGAGATCTCAGTTAGGCAAATAATGTTTTAAGAAAAGACTTCACACATTTTTATGTAACGAAATCAACTGCAGACAACAGCTGTTTTCACATGATCGCACTAAGTGTCTGTTTCAAAGAGATCCACATTCATCCTTAAGCACAAGTAGAAGTGAGAAACATATGTTATATAGAGCTTAGGGGTTTTTAAACTAAGCCAACTGTTCTTCTAGCATGAGAATTTTAACAGGTTTTAAGAAAACAGTAGAATTAAAACAAAAACCAGCAGCACAAGCAAGTATTACTTATTTCAGTAAACTTCAGATGAGATCTCAGTTAGGCAAATAATGTTTTAAGAAAAGACTTCACATACTTGGTAGGTAAGATCCTTTGTTAACATTAGGAACTACTTCCACTACATCTGGAGAATGTATTTGGTGCAGAGTTTATTACCAGACATTCCTCAGAAAGGGTTGTACATCATACAAAGAGATTCACCAGAAAGGAAGTATTTAAGAGGTTTAAAGCAAAACTAGAGCTGTAATACAATCAAGATGAGCACCTATTTAAAATGCTATTTATTTTTCAGTATTTTACACCCCCCCCAACCTCAACTCACATGATACTGCCTTCTATTATTATAGAATAGATGTACTTAGTAGCGGCTTCTTCCCATACAGCTGCTACATAATGGGCCAACTTGATTTCAGCACCACCGTCTTTACAACTGTTCCCATTTTGTTACCTGTTTGAAAGTCAGCTGAATAGCCTCGTATTTCCTGAGCTCAAGGACATTCATTAGCTCCATGATGGATTTGTAGCCCCTGTCCAGTTCCTCTTGTCTTTTTATCAATTTTTCCTTCTGCTCTGAGAAATTCACAAACTGATCTAAAGCTTTTTTATTAACGTGACTGTATTTCTTCAGTTCCGTATTGCACTGCTCCAGTTTGCGGAATAACTGTAAGCGGGAAAAATATTAACATATCAAAGTGACTTGCAATTCTAGCCACATTTGACACTCAATATGTACATGACGCTAATATTTCGGGTCATGAAACACGAAACCAAGCACAATTACCTGCTTTAGACTTAAAGTCTGATACTTTTCAAAAGCCTCCTGTGGAAGTGAACCCAACTCTCGGATTTTCTTCATGCATTCCTCTTTCTTCTTCAGAAGCATGCCTTGCCTGTTAGTCATTTTTTCAAGTTCTTTTGTGTCATGGTTAATGGCATCCATGTGCTCCTTTTCCATGTTCTTCCAGCGTTCCATGCTCTTTTGAAGCTCTTTAATTCCTGCTTCTGTTTTGTCAATAGAATTATCCAGATCTGAGATATTGGGGGAGAGCACAAAACCCAAAGTGGTGAGTCTTACATGCCTGTATAAAATCAGCAATTATCCCGTCAAGTATTTATGAAACAAAAAGTTTTAGATAGGTTAGACAGAATTAAAGAACAATTATTCAAGATCATGCTTATATGAAGGTTGCTTCAAAAGTAGAAGCAAGAAGTCTGTATCACCAACACATACTTATTAGTATTGCAGTGTGCAACTGTGGACACTTTTATTTATGTACAACATGCACAAAATCTTGTTTCACTTCTCTCTTTGAGCAAGTTCCAAAAATCTGTTACACACTATGTAACTACTACAGTGTCTTTGAGATTAATGATTACTTCTCACATTATGGTCTATTTCTAAACCAAGATACAGTATGCATGAACTTTCAGAAACCTTGAGATTTTTCTTTGAAAAAATGATGCTACCAACCATCTGACCGTGCCAGCGTATCTTTCACTCGTTTGTTGATAGCCTCAAGTTCTGACGTTGTGGCAGTAAGAACTGTGCCACCTTCCGTTTCTCGTAGCTCATTCAGTTCCTATGGGACAAAGTAAATGCCACCAAGTTTCAGCATGAACAGAAGTATAAGCCAGACAAACAAGTTATCTTCTGCTACTCTACATATAACTGTATTAAATATTTTAGTAAAGTTTTAGAGAGGAGTTATATTTTCAAACACTATTCATCCACCATTATGATGTCCCTATTTATACATAGGCTGGGTATTTAGAGTAGGATTTCTGTCCAAAAATTCACATGCTTAAAATACTGTGCTGAAATTTTAAGTATAACACTTAACTCAGCTTGGATATGGGGAAGCAAAACCCACCACAGATAACACAGGGTAATGAATATTTATGAAGTGATTAATGCATTAAAAGCCTTGGAAATAAACCAAAAACAGATTGCAGAAGTACATTTAAGAGAAAATCCTTACTTGTTCCACTTGGTCTAAGCGTTTTCTCAGATTCTCATTGAGATATGTTTCAACTCTTGTGATAATACCTTCTAGTTTAATCCTCTCATTCAAAAGCTGTCTGTTTTCCTGAAAAAATAAAGTAGTATATTAATTGCCTTAACTAACTCCTAAACAACTATTTTTTCCTTTTAAAAAAATTAAAGACAAAAAACCACTCTTCACACAATTCTGTATATTAAAATATTGCATAATTCTTTGGAGTGTTGCTCTAATCTTAACAGGTAGAAAGAACCAAACTAAATATTTTTGCAGGTGTCTAGTGTAAAAGTCAACCATACAAATCAGTAAGTTTAAGATAAAACTGTATTAGCATCTGAATCCCAGAAAAGCTTTAGATAGTATACTTAAGAAGTAGTATTCTTCCCAACAACATGAGAGAAAAACTAAGGTTTATTCTGACACCCATCTACCACATGTTTAAAGGCATTGGTTTGTTTTCCCACACTGCATCATTCCTTTCAGATGATATCCATTGGTATTTGTTGTTGTAAAGTCCAAGAGCAGGAGCAAGGAAACTGTGATGATTCCAACACAAATAGCCATAATTGTCATACAACACAGCTAGTAAAAGTCACCCAGCATTTGAGAAAAACATGCAAATACACTTTGCTCCAAACATTCCTACCTACCACTGATGAAAATTGCACTATATTCATCGTACGTGACTTTTCATACAAAAGGACAAAAGTAAGTTGATTGGGAAGAAAGGTACCACATTTAATGGCAAGACATTTTCATTTCCTTACTTGCTGTAGTTGTCGAATTTCATCATTAAGAGCATCCACGCGTTTCTGATCTTCAAGACTGAGCTGAGACAACAAATCAGTCCCCAGTTCTGCCTTTAACGATTCTCTAGTTGACTCCATAGCATGTAAACTTGCCTCCAAGCTCTGCAAACTGCGTTGCTATGGAACAGATATTAGACAGATTCATTCCTCAAAGCAATCTGTAGAATTTGATGAATTTCATTTCTCTGTTACATAAACATATTTTTGTGACACATCTCTAGTCACCTCTTCATATTTCATATTATGATGTTAACCAGAAAGAATGCAAGTTTATCAGTACTATTAATGAAACAATTCATATAAAAACAGTAACAGCTTTCAATAACCCCATACCATACCTTAGGCATAAATGTCTTTTCAGACTGCTGCCTCTTCTCCTTCAGCATTTTCATCTCTGACAAAATACTGTCTCGAGAGGCTTTGAACTTCCTCTGTTGTGTCTCAATTTGTTGCATTTGGTTCATTAGCTGGTCAATCTCATTATTAATCCATACCATGGGCTAAGGAAAACTATCCTTGTTTTAAAAGGCATTTTGTACCTACTAGTACCTTCAACTTTTATTCAGTTTGGCATATTCAGCTGCCATCAAAATTAAAAAAACCCAAACACACATACACACACCCCCAAACCCAAAATACTCAGTTGTAGAGAGGAAATCAAGAACCATCAACAGAAGTAACTTGAGCACCCTTATCGACACCAAGAATGAGGAAAGCTTCATTTAGCTGTTAAATTTACAATATGGCGCTCAGAACAACACAGAGATACATTTGAACTTGTAAGGAAAACTCAGAGAACATAGAGGAGCAGATGCCTACATTTAAAAAGAAATATTAGAACAATACAATTATCCCTTAATTCTGAGGCAAAAAGTATAATCTGTTCATGCTACTTTTGATACAATAGCTTACATCATAGTGCAGAGCTTGCAGAGGATTCGGTTTTAATTTATGTTGAATTGCTAACGTCATGTTACTCCTACTACAATGTGTATTTTAACATGACATCAACTTAAACGCCCTAAGAATTAAACAATTCCCTTAGCAGAGGTTACAGTAAAACACTTTGCTACATACATTCTGGGAAAACTGAAGGAGCTACAGAAAAAAAAATTAGCAGGAAAATATTTTAGTTTCAAACTGATTGAGGTCTGTTTGTGGTATGTTTTAAAAGTTAGTCAGACTGCAGCAACAGCTGCTAATACAGTCACCGATCAAGCACAGCTGAAGGGTACGCCACACAGAAATTTCTATCAGTTAGAGGAGCACTCTACCCACAACACCTATAGATCCCTCCTCGAAAAAGAAATCCAGGCCTAAAGACTTTTACTTAAATGATAGCAAGAAAGATATCTCAGTTCCAAAATAGCAGGCCTGCTTAAAGGTTATACTGAAACCAAAGGGTCCAACAGGTAATTGGGGAATTTAACTACAAGCAGCAG